TGATATGGAAAATAATGACCCCAAAGTTTCCATTGAGGCAATCTCCATCGATTCATCACACCACATTTAAGTAGGCATGCTTAGTAAGTGTTGAACCTTTTTGGTATGTCACATGACTTTTTGTGTACTTTACATCCACTTTCACTGAGTTAACTCCGATGCATAGCAACCCTATACAGGGTTTCCAATTGTGTAAATCCTTTTTGGAGCTGACGATGTCCTCTTTTTCCCTCAGAGTGGCAGGGGGGTTGGAAATGCCAGCTTTGTAATTTATAGAAAAACACCTAACCAGAGTGTCAACGGTAATCTTCCAGTGTATCTTCCAGCACTCTTATACAGAAGAAAGCGTTCCTAGTGGTGTAGAGGGTAAGGAAAAAAGAAGCGCTGCTTAGAAACACTGGAAGACCGTTTTCTGTCTTTTGGGGTGAATATGAATCATAAGTCCATGACAATGATTTTGGTTTGTTTGGTCTACGCAGAAGTAACATGCCTGGTGGTGGCAGCGACTAAGCACTCAGCTAGGAGCTCATCAAAAGATTGTTGCCTTCAGTAAGCACACCAGTCATTCCACGTGATAAAGCTGTGGAGCTCTGCTCCCATAAAGGGTTCAGCCGATGGGGCAATTCTATGTCCTGTAATCTCACTGTGAGTCTGCAGCAAATCAATGTTTATGAATTGGGTTGTTCTTGTTATTTTTGGTTTGGGTTTATAATATTTAGCTGAAATAGATAAGTAATTACATCAGTCTCATACAGTTTTTCAGAGGCCAAATTTTTTTTAGATATCCTTTAATCAAATGCACTTCTCATATTTTTGTTCAGGGAAAAAAGGCCTAACACTAAGCATATTTAACAAGTGCTTACGAAGAAGTGGCTTTGGAGTTAAGGTTCAAATACTGGGCTATTCTTGATCATTGCTTAACCTCTACTAAGACTGTTGTTCTGAAATTCACCCAGACACATAATATCAAAAAATAAAATAAAAAATATCCTGTATTTTAAATTTAATTTTTAAGATCTTTATATTAAGGCTATTAATATTGACTACATTTAAGCAATATTCCAGGGTGATATCAAGGCATTATTTCAATATGATTTAATCCACATAAAGTCCTTGTTTCAAATTTTGTACTTATTTCAAGCTATAATTTGAAATTAAACCTGAGATGAAATTAATTTTCAAAGTAGTAAGAATATTTTGTTTGACTCTGGAGTAATTTTTTTTTTAGTAAGCTTGTACACCTGCATTGGTTTTCGTCTCCTGAACTCCAATGAGATTAAATGTGCACACTTTTTCTAAAGATGATTAGAGTCCAGGAAATTATAGCTAAGATAAGTGTAACAAACTCACTGTTACCAAGTCCATGCAGATGCACAGTGGCCCTATGATACAGTGGGCAGCACTGGCTCTGTGAGTTTCCTAGACTTATCCCTTTGTGGGAGTGACTTGTGCTTTGAAACTGTGACCATATGACCATCAGTCCAATGTGGAACCACTATGCCAACAGCAATCACACAAGTGTCAAAGTCTACCAGAGTGAAAATATCCTATCTAATGTGAAGGTTAACTTCATACATGGTCTTAAGGTAATTGTCTTCTATTTATTAAAAGTTAAATATTTGGGTTGATAGATATTTTTATAGGAGTGATGTATAGTAAGATACATGTGTGTTTATAAAACTATGTCTTAGCAAAGGACTCCTTAGTTATATTATGTGAATAAAGTTAGCTTGCTTTTGCTACATCTTACTAAAATTTGTTTATTTCTTTATTTTAATGCTAGCATAATGATTCAAGTTGCAAATCTTTATTAATGCATTGAATTTTCAGAAGCAAATGAAACTATGAATATACCATTGATTGAAAATAAGCATCCAAGTATCATCTGATTGTTTTAATATGAACAACCTTAAAATAAACCATATAAAAGTGTTTTCTAAACTTTCAGAAAACTATTGCATTTGACTTAAAATAATGAAAAACATATTTTATAAAACAATTCATCATTCAGTCTCCTCACTTTTAATATGAATCAGCTTATGTATACATATCCTACTAAAATCCAAGAACTAGTAATTGAGCAACTTTTATACCATAATTACTATTTTTCTACATATGAAAATATTTATATTGTTATTTTTATTATTTGAAAGCAACAAATATTGACATCCAAAAGTGCAACAGGAAACTTGGTGTCAAAAGATGAATTGTACCAATATTTAATGAAAAAATACACAAACATCAGCGAAGACAAGCTTAACCTACCTAATGAGTCCCGAAGTCCTGAAACAAACATGACTTCATTAATGCCACTAAAAAAAATCCAGTAGAATAGCTGAGAATCCTGAATTGTTCTTAGCAGGACCACTTGAATGGGTATTTTAAAACAAGCTTTGAAAACACTGTTTTGACATAAAGGTATTTAAATCTTAATGGAAAGG